TTTCCTTTTCAAGGAGTACAAAAAATAAAACAAAAAAATACCAGTTGGTCCCGGGTTGACCCTGGAACCGGACCGAACCCATTGGGTCGGTCCGGTCCTTGGTCCCAGGCTCAATAGGGTCGGTCCTCGGTCCCAAAAATTGAGGACCAACACTGTGCGGGTTGGTCCTAGGGTTAGGGGGTGGACCGGCCCAACTTGGACCATGCTCACCCCTAGTCTTGACGGCTCCATATCAAGTCATAGACGGCAGCTTACAAGGATTGGCTGGTTCACGACTGTGACCTCAGATATGGATTGTGGCCGCGACAACCCCATATTAGATCATGGTCACAGTTGATCACGGTCACGGCTAAAGCCCTGACCGCAACCACATTTGAGGGGATTTCGTTAATCAACGACCCAAATATGGGGGTCATAGCAATGATCATGCGAAATTTTTAAAAAAAAGAAGAATTGATACGAAAACTCATAGAGGGGGCGGCAGTGATGGGCAGCTCTACAAAACCATGATTTTGTCACGTTAGGTCCAACCTAAGGTAATGAAATTTCGTGTTTGTTGCCATAAGTTGAAAAATATCTCAACTCTAATTGATCAACAGCAACAAAGTACAAATTTTCTCGCTTAAATTTGACTTAAGACGATGAAACTTTGATTTTGTCGTCTTAGAGTATGACCTAGGGCAAGAAACTTAGAAATTTGTTGCCTTTGGTCGACCCTAAGGTAGTACACTTACTAATTTGTTGCCTTTGGTTTGATCGTAAGGTCACAAAAAACTCTCTTTTGTCGCCTTAAGGTGTTTTTCTTCCGGTAGATAATGAATTATTCACTTTCATTTTCTTATAATTCAGGAGCATGAGCGCAGAGTTCTAACTATCCGAAATTATTCATCTTCATGAATGTAAATCTCAATATTCAACGGGGTAAATTGCCATGAATGAGCAAGCCCTTCATCTTAGGAGATTTACTACCCCGAAAGGGAGGATTTCATCCCACTCTTACCAAACATATTATAGTACACGAACCATGTCAGATAGACCCATAAATAAGAACAATCAAAGAGGCCAAACACAAAGAACAAGAAACCTAATTCGAGCTAGGTGCTGCCTTCGGAAATCGTAGATTTTTTAATTATAAAGGTTGAATGCATGCATATAGCTGTTGACCCATCGTGATTAATGAATTGTTTATGTCGTAACATGCAAATAATAATTCATTCGGTGAAAGCAACCTCAAGCCATAAAGAAATGCCTTCTTCTGCAAACGGAATTCCTTTAGCCAATCCATGATGTCTCGCTGAAATTGTAAACGCTGAAAACTCAGAGCAGATCTCAACGAATCCCATACGCACAAAGCTTTCGATAGTACGTTTAATTGACCGCGTTCGAAGTTGACACTTTTCGCCTTGACGCATTAGGGTTAGGGATACATAATCAGTTATTAATATGAATAACGAAGGAGTTTTGTCTTTCCCATTTCACTATCTCCAATTTAATCGTTTTTATACTTTCGAGCGAAAGCGCCATGCGCGGAAGCTTATGCTCGTTTTTAGCAACTATTCTTCGTGCTTAAGTTAGAGGTGGACTTTTCAAGTGCACGAAGAAGTCTTACGTGAAGTCATGCATGAGCAAATCATGCTGGTTCACCATGTGGAAGATGGGTATGGGTTTGACGAAAATATAAAATCTATTGTGAAGTTCTTCTTTCGATATTAACCCTAATTTTTAATGGGGAAAAACTTTAGTGAGAGTAAGCGAACGCTGTAGCAAATAGTGAATTTCTCTTGATATTCGCAGAAATCAATTGATTATTATATTGATTAGCTATCTTTTCCACCAATATTATGGAGAATAGTCTATAAATAATAGAATTCAATTGAATTGGTATCTCTAGTGATGCATGATTTTCTGCTTAGCTTAGATAGAATTTTCTTCCTTTATTTACGAATCAAAGGCAAATCAAGTTAATGGATGTATCAGTATCATCGGCAAAAACTACTGGTTGTCGTTATTGGTACAATTTACAGACAATGGACAGATTTATGCGAGAACATGACGCTGCTACAGAGAGCTTTTGGCATGTTGCTACCTGTGAATAGCCGGTAGAATATGATAGAAGGTCGTTTATAATTTGATAATCAAACAGTAATGTTTATGGAACTGAGAACCTCAAATTGGCAAATTAAAAATGCAAGTTTGAGAAACATCTTCCCCAATTGACTATTTCATTATGATGTACGTTATTCTCTGTGGAAAACGCCATCGCAAATAGCGTTCATTTGGCCTTATGCTGCCTGGTCTAGAGCCAACAAAATAATGCTACTTGTTGTCTTGGTTTTAATAGATTTAAGCATTGATCAAGACTAGAGATTGTCACTTCTACTATTATTCTCTTTCGGTTACAAAGCAAGACGGACACGCTTCGAGTGGGTAGATTACTTGCTCGTGAAATATTCCACTCACCTTTCAGACGATAAAGGAAGCGAACTGAATTCGAGCGGATGGTTAATTTTTGAATTGATTGTGCTTTAGTAGGCTTAATAATCGAACTTGTATCTGGTGCCTAATTCCTAAGAAATCATCTCCGTGATGTTTAAAATAAGTTGGCCCGATAAGTTTGAAGGGATTAGTTCAAGCGATAGTGTAATTGAAAAGGAAAGCAATTTGAGTTTCGTTCTTGAGAAGTACAAGAACATCTCATTATCCTCGTGTATAATCTCTTGGAGTCGAGTCCCAATGAGGTAATTCCTTACATTTTTACCTCTAATATGATTATTACTCCCTTTGTATTTGACGTTACGATCGTATCTACACCGTCCATGGGAAGCGGGCTAGATTTGGATAATTAAGGTCTTGGACGATCAAAGATGTTGTTGCGAAAATTCAAATCGGCATTAGCATAAATATTACAAACAATACAGAATTGTAAAGAAACGAAATTGCAATAACAAAGTCGGAATCGATACAAATGAATACCGAGGCCTGTGTTTGACACAGTTTCCTTAAAACAGATTCGTTCCCTCCAGTACGCGACCGAGGTTTCGTGAACGTCTGTCTCCCAGGATACAACGGTTGACAGCGAAGAATAGAGCACGGCACTTCCAAGCTTCCGGCGAACTTGAACAAACTCGAAATGAACACTACCGAAAAACAGTGCAAAATGCAGAGAGAGTGTAAAACCTGAGGAAGAATGATTTCGATAAAATAGAACGCAGGGGAGAGCATTTCGGGAATAATAACGGCCGATTAAATCTGTCGTTACAAAATCAATACGAATAACGGACGATTAAATCTGCCGTTATAAAATCAATACGAATAACGGACGATTAATTCTGCCGTTATAAAATCAATACGAATAACGGACGATTAATTCTGCTGTTATAAAATCAATAGGGACGATTAAATCTGCCGCACGTTACGAAATTCGTAACAGTTTGAGTTGAAAAAAAATAAATCAGAAGGCAAAATTGGGCTCGTCACGAGGCCCACTTTTCGGTCCTGCAATCGTGTACGCGGGATGTGCGCTCGCGCCCAAGTTTCAACTTGTCGGGCGTCGGATTTGCACTCCCCCTGCGCCTGCGCGCGAGGCAGAGAGTTTGTGCTATGATAATTACCACTTCAAATAAGTGTAACTATATATAAAGCACTCCATAGCCTTCTTTCTTTTCCGATGTGGGAATAGTGTTTTTCCACTTCCCACTTCCAACTCAAGGGTGTTCTTTGAGCATCAATTTCTCATTCATTCACCCATCAATTTATCCCATATTTCCAACAGATGTAACTGAAGCATCTAATTAATTGGCTTGGGAGTTCATGATCAATTGATCATAAGTGAAAGAGATTCTTATTATATATAGTAATGAAGGTCGGGAGTTTATGATCTTTCTTTGTTGTCAACGAGTGAAACAACAAAACAAAATTTATTTTAAGACTTTTATCAAGCTAAGGATAGTCAGGTTTGGCTTAAAATAGCCGATGTGGTAACCCTCTTTGAAAAATAATAAACAAAAAAAAGCCAAATAAGCTTTTTTCGTCAATTTAATTGGATGGAGATAACAGAGAGACTTGATCGCATCAATCAACAAATTTAAATACTTGATTGCTTTTTTCGAAAGTTTTAGGACTCGATTGTACTTTCGCGATGAGTTTTAGGATTTATGGTGCACTTTTCCCTAAAAACAATTTAAAGAAAAAAGTTTTCAAAGGGAAAGAGAGGTTCTATCCTTGAAAAAAGAAAAATAAAAAGGATTTTACTATGATTGGCTGCCCTTTTCTCCCTCCAAAATGAATTTCTCACAGTATTACTTTTGTGTATATGAGGATAGCTGATGAGAGAAATAATATGTTGTATTCCTTGTTCTTGTTGAAGTTTTCCTCTTTGGCCACTTTAACATTGTTGGAAATTGACCTCTCGTGTTGATAAGAGCCCATTTTTATTACAGGATATATATATCAAGAAGTGAATGGTTAAAGTAATTTTAATTTATTTCCATCCAGACGAACATGTAGATATGTTAAATAAATCACATATAGACTCCATTTGAGAGTAGATTGAGCTTAAGTAAAGGGAGGGAACTGGCTTGCACTCGTAGAAAATAGAAACGAACTAATGATGGCACGCCTACGAGCAAACAATAAATTAAGAACCGTCGCTTAATCATTTCGGGAAAATGATCCCATCATCAGAAAATTTCCAACACCCGCGTATACGAAACCAGTTGTAATCAGATTTTCAGCCGGCCGTAGCTGGCTAGCCGGCCATAAGGATATCTCCAGTTTTTCTCACACATGACTACTTCTCCCTATAAAAACCTCAACAGTTCTCTCCATTTTTCACTCCCCAATCGCTTCTCTTCATCTTCCTTCACATCATTCCCTCAAAAGTAACTTCAAAGTACTCTCATCTCATCTCTCCATTCTTTTTAACCCCATAAACAGATTCATCGCGTTACGTCTCTCACGTGTACATTTCGCGATCGATTTGAGTGACGGGAGGAGTAGTCATGAGGCAGCCCGGGATGTATTCGGGGATGTTATCTGGACTATCCGGCAAAACCGGGCCTCACTCTCTGCCACTTGCGAGGATCAAGAAGATCATGAAGAAGTCCGGGGACGACGTGAAGATGATCTCCGGCGAGGCGCCGATCGTGTTCTCCAAGGCCTGCGAGCTGTTCATCGAGGAACTCACCAGGCGGTCCTGGACGACGACTATGCAAGGCAAGAGGAGGACGCTCCACAAGGACGACGTGGTTTCGGCGGTCGTGGCGACTGACATCTTTGACTTCCTCGTCAACTTGGTCTCGGAGCCTCCAAACGCTGCCGATGAGGACGCTCCGGGAGGAACTAGCGATACCGAGCATTGATCTTGGAGTAAGTTTAGCTTCCCACCATTTACATGGTAATGGCGATTCATACATAGCTCGGACGTACATGGAAAACTGTGTTTTATTGGATATATAATTTATGTATCAATTAGCAAAAGCTGAAACAACTTCAGTTATATATGTTGCTTCTGACTTCGAGAAGAAAGATGTAACGAAAGTTATTTTTCCTTCTGCTAGACATAATAGTCATTTTCTGATCCTGCCATAAACATGCACACTATGGAATTGATTTTCTAGCGGGTTTCGCTAGGGTTTTGGATTAAAGTTGATGAAGAAATATTGCCGTACAGCGGTGATGGCAAAGGGTCAATATTTTTTTTGGTAAGGAGAAAAAAAAAATGGAAAGGGTTTAACCTATAAGAGGCTTCTCACCCAAGTTGGTACACATGGGTAGAAATTTAAGTATTTAGCACCAAAGTCTCCTTCTGTATTGGACTTTCAAGTCTTAAACTTGCTCTACTAGCGCATTTGAATCCTTAACTTTTGTTAATCATAAGCCACCGTAAGGAAAAAAACACAATACGGAACATGTCTTTCCGAACCCAAATTTTGATTTATGTGTTTTTAAGTTTCATTTTTCATACGTCTAAATTGTATAAGGTTAAACATATGTGCATTATACACAATGTGGCAAATGGAGGGAATCAATCAATATGCGTACATATTCCAATGGTAGAACGACTTGTTCGTACGTTCATATCAATCTCCCTCCTCCTTGGTACGATGGAAATTTTCCATTGCTCGCTCATGTATATACCAGTGATTTCACCTTCTTTAAATCATGATACACTGCCAAAATGTCTATAGGATTAACGTGTCATGATCATAGGAGCATATTAGGTCAAACAAGTAAAACAACACGGTTCATATACTAAGTCACTTGCAGGTAGATTGGTTTGAACATATGAGCAAAAGGCCAAAAGTTAGGGATCTCGGTCGGCTGCTTCTAGGCCCTTTCCTTATTCCATTCACCAGAGTCTTGTATTGCTGCGCACACAGATCCTATGCTTTCCTTCCAGGGTCAACTTTTTTTTAATTTTTTTTTTCTTGGTGAGGATCAGACAAATGAAAGAAAGAAAGAATATAAAAGCTAAGGTAGAAGATCCACCAGGACAATGGCAACATATTTGCTGGACAATATTTTTCTTCACCCCATCTCCAAAACTTGTCATAGGTTATTTATGCATCCTAATGTCACCTACGACATGCAACCACACAAAACCTCAAATTACCAGTTCACTTTTTGGCCCAATGAACAATGGTGTGGCGGTGCATGTGACGTGGAGATACATTGAACGGAAGGACTACATTCGGCAGATTTTTGAAATTCCAGCAATTAGATGAAACAAAATAAGAATAAGTTCAAAGACTACATTGAACATCGAAGAAAAGTTCAGAAATCACCCATGTCACTATCCCAAAAAAAAAACAGGAAATACATCACACCACATTCGAATGGATTTCCATACTCGGGAAAACTTACTGTTATATTTTCAATAACACTACTAATGAGAAATTATCCAATCAACAAAACTAGTAGTACATATAACAAACTGAGTATGGACCCTCAAATTTAATGGATCTCACATCGTGTCCATATGGATCCATCATTTTTAATGATGTATATCTATATAAAATTTTGTAATTATTTATCGTTTATTGCAATAGTTGATTTATATCACACCGGGGGATACAAAGGAAAATCCACGCTAATTTAGTAATAAATGAATCAGGGCCTCATTGTCAAATTAAGAAGCGGACAAATCTCAAAACTGATAATTAATAATGCCAAAAATTACCAATGCAAAATGGGATACAATGATTAGTACGTACTTTAGGGGGTTGTCTCTACTGTGAGATTGCGTTTGGGTGTTTGGTGACATTCACCGGACTCTATAAATCCATATACATTCGGATAAAAATGTCGGATAAGAAATCTGGCCTAGGAGGTGGGATAGACCCAGATTGGATGTAAAATTTTTAAACTTAACTTAACAATTTTCACGCACCAGGAAAAACCACCTCATGCGAGACTCACTGTCCTTGGTGTTTCTCACCGGCAACACCCCACTACCACTCCGGTGGCCATCCACCGTGATAGTCCCTCACTCTAGCATCCTCGAGTATCCTCGCCGGTGCCCTTGCTTGTGGCTCACTTGGAAGGTTAAGAGGGCTCATCACCTCAACCGTGGCTCCCTCTCTGTCTCAGTTGATTTTTCAGCTATTCCACCATCACCGAATCATCTCTCGGTTCCTCTCTCTACTTTACCGTTGATTACTCATTCTCGGCCTCCATTGTTCCACAATCTCTCTCTTGGTCGACTCTGAACTAAGAGTTCATCAAGTTTAGAATTTTTATTAATGGAAGAGGTCATATATGTTGAAAGTTGTCAAGCTCCCGAGGCTGATTTCCCAGAGACTGCTTGTTGACGACAGTGGTCGAGAGGGTTTGAGTCGTCACGTACATTAGGAGCCCATCAGAGATGGAATATTAAAATATTTTCAAAGATTTTCAATAATAAGGATTTCAAAAGATTTTCAATTTTATCTTAGGTTCCACCAAGCATTTGATGGGATATTTTCACAATCCGGAGGATATTTGGAGGATTTCAAATTCCCTTTATCTTATCAAATCTCAATCCGAATCCAGATAACTAAATGCAGTCTGAGAATTGAGAAAGCTCTCGCTCACCACTCCATTTACTACATTAAGTACTAGTACTACAATTCTATATACACCGTACATACGTAGTTTGTACTAAAAAAACAAGCAATACACCTCTAGTACGCCTTCATTAAGCAGAGAAGCAGCTGAAAACAATGCTCTCGCCGGGAACAGCCGAGACCAAGAACTGGTCGCTATCAAACCTACGAATCGGAGTTGGCCTCGCGGTCGTCCGACAGTTCTGTCACTTGCAGGTAGATTGGTCAGCTCTGTCGGCAGCTCCGGCCGCTGTGTCCGGCTTCTTTCCAGCGGCGGACGGCCTCCTCTCCATCCTCCGCCTCACCACGTACTCCTCGGGAATGAACACGTCCATTATTACTATTTGCTTCTGTTTGTTGCCGAGAGGATGGGACAGTGTATTGATGGTGGGGGTATGAGCACTCAGGTGTTTGCGACAAGGTTTTGTGTGGAGTGAAGTGCAAGCGACGAGGGTGTGTTATATATTAAGGAGAGAGAGAGAGAGAGAGAGAGAGAGAGAGAGAGAGAGAGAGAGAGAGAGAGAGTTACAATGGGCGAGGACCCATGTTTTCGGCGGTAACCAATTAGCGACAGGGTTATCAAGGTGGTGCCTGCAAATGGTTTTCGTTTTGCCTTCCTCGGAGTGTGCTTTTTTTACTCACTTTTGTGTCGTGAAAGCTGGAGGTTTTGACGGAAAGAGAGAGAGAGAGAGAGAGAAGACAGGTGTAAAGGCATGTATATAATAGTCCATTGCTTGACAAGCGTAGGGATGAACAGGAGAATTTCCTGGCCTTTTTCAGACTGCCTGTCTCGTGCATTAAAATTTCATCTGAGGTTCAGACATTTTCTATTTCTTACTCTCTAATAAGTCACATGAGATTCTTTTCTAGTACACCCCAAGAAGGATCCACTTTTTTTCTCCAGCTAGATATGGTTTTACAAATTTGTGCTTTGGGATACGTTTGATGTGAATATGATGAGTTTTCCTCCAGCTTAATTGATTGATTCTTTTAGGTAAGGTAAGTTGTTCAATTGGGTATTAAGACATAACTAGTGAAAATTACACCGTCATTAGTATTTCGAAGCTAGTGGCAGTTGCAGTTTAAGTTTACGGGGACAGGATAATAGGAAAAACCAAGTGACTAGGGAAATCGACGGTCCTCGCCAACCCCGACCTCGTTCCGCCATGATATCAGGCATTCGATTCGATGGTTCTTAAGAGGTTGGTGGGGTTAGCAAAAGCCATCTGCTGGAATGATAGCTTGAGCAAATACCTCACCCAGATCCAATCTCTTCTTACCTTCTGAATGATCGAAACTTGACAAGGTAATGTGAGACGAGAGGATGAGACGGTGAAGAAACAAGTATTTTTAGAGTGGGCTACAGTGTCCCAACTCAGTGCATAGAATCTGGAAAAACGGGGCTTGTCCTTTACCTTCGTCGGCAGATAAATTAAGTTGCGTAATTCGAGAAGAAGATTAACAAATTTTTTATCGATTGCTGGGGTTAATTGTCAATTTGTCAGTGCTTATGGGGGGCAAATCTAGAAGTGTTGGAGGCATGTGATGCCTTGGCCTGGCACGGCGATCAGGGTAAGTCACATTTTGTGTTGGTAAAGTACGAGGCATTCCCTGTGGGGGTCGGTTCACATGTCATTGACCAGGCGTTAGATAATTTTCGATCGATTGCTAATTCTGCCCTCTTAACTTTTTTGATGTTAAAATTAGTCGTACAAACACAACGAAATAGAGAATAAAAGCGAGAAAGAGAAATCGAAACACAAGATTTATCCTGATTCACTTTTAAACAAGAGCTATGTCCGGCAAAAGATTCCACTGTAATTATCCCCTCCCACCTCTCTATTACAACTATCAATTACAAGAAAAAAAATTATATACAGATAATAGCTATTTATGGACTTAAATCCAAACTATCAATAAAACATGGATCCAAACAATAAAAGTCATCTAGCGGCTAGGGGGCGCTGCCTCTTGAGGCGGCCCCTCGTGCCTTCCTATCGATGGGGAGTATGAACCACAACCTAACATAGGAGGCCCCTTGTGAACCACAACCTAACATAGGAGGCCCCTTGCGACCCCCGCTGGAGCAGCCTCCGTGTCTTCTAGTTGATGGAGAGTATGAACCACACTCCAACAAAGAAGGGATGATCGGAGAAGAGTTTTAATAGCTTGATTTCTCTTGTTTTCTAGTGATTTCGTGCTTGCCAGGAGATTACTTATGAAAACTTTATGCGGAATCATAAAATAAAATAAAGAAGATCGCCCGGAAAAGATGCATGAGTGATGAGATATTATCTTCCGAAGAGCTTCACGCGTCCACTTATTCATGCATCTTTTGCCGAGTGAGAAGACAGGTCTGCAATCACCAGAAAACAGCCAATGCGCATCAGTTGGAAGTAAATTAAAATGTTCAAAATGAACCGTAATTGAAGTACCAAAATTCAGTGACTGTCAGACGAAAACTACACCCTTTTTTTCTTATCGATTCATTTTATGGATTCCATATGAAACATTTGTATCAAATATCATTCGATCGATGCTGCTAACAAGAAAGTTGCAGTCCATCAACAGCGAAACCTTATAAAAGTGCTTGTCTAATTAATCAAGATTAGCGCTTGCTTGGCAAGCAATCAAGCGGGGCTAAAGTAACGCATGTCCTTCCTCTGATCTACATCCTTTCTCGATAGAACTTCATTTCATTCCACAGTGAAGCGTCATGTGTGGAGCCTGTCGTCGGAGGGTGCTTCGCTTTCATGCATGCACCAACTTTTATTCATCAACTCCTCTCGTCACATCAATGTTTGGTGAAACCTTGAAGTTAACAACTAATTGAATCAATTCCCGACCCTTAATCTTTTCATTTTAAATGACCCGGTTCAACAAGTTCCACCAGGAATCCTCTTGTTCCCCAAATTAAAGATATTGTTTGCAGTTAATCACCTCCGAATCTTGCTCAATTTTGTATTTTATTTTATCTTATTTTCGTGCGTACCGGTGGCTAAGTTGAAGGATTACGTGATGGAAGAGGAGGTGGAGAAGAAAGCTGATCGATCTGAAGCACCAAAAGCTCCCCCAGAACCAGAGAATGGAGCTGAGGAGAAGATCGTTATATCTGCTCCCAACAAGAAGGTCGCTTTCACAACTGATGTGGGTAAGTAATCTGCTCTTTAATTTTCTCTTCAGAGGTTTTAATTATCTAGCATGCATTCATCTGGATCTTTTTTTTTTTATGGGTTTATTTAGGATTGAAAACAATAGAATTCTAGGTCAAGTTTAGTACGATGGGCACCATGGTAAACTTATCATGATCTGCACATTCATCTAAGTAAATATGTCAGATAATCAAATTAACATGGTATTAGGATAGGAAATCCAGTATCCAAAATCAACAATCACGATGCGTGTTCGGGCATAGAGTGCAAACCCCTGAATACGACTGAATGTTAGAACAACCAAGTACTATATAATGCCTACTAACTCAAGCTGATGATTTTAATGAAAAGAGTTTTGTATCTATTGATTAAATAGACTGGTGGGGTTCCCTGCAGTTATGTATATCCTATCATTTGGTTTTCGGTTTATTCCTTACCCAATTGAGTTTCTTGTGGCAGAGATTACAGATCCTGTTGAGAAAGGCTCAGGAGATCAAACAGAGAGAGGTATGACCAAGCAGACTAGTGATGATCTATAGTTATACATTATTGTAAGATCAGTCAGCTAAATCATCGTAAGATCATCAGACATATAATTTGACTTGTTGCTATGGTTCTTGAGATGATGTACTTGCCCGAGTGGAAGCAGAGAAGAGGATGGCTTTGATCAGAGCTTGGGAAGAGAGTGAAAAATCCAAAGCTGAGAGCAAGTAAGAGACTCTACACTTGTGATTGCCCCCTCTTTGCATTTGCATTGAGTCCTGGTTGATTTGAATGAGATATTGAAACAGGGCGTACAAAAAGCTAGCTATCACTGGGTCCTGGGAAAACACCCAGATAGCTTATATTGAGGCTCAGATAAAGCAAATTGAGGTAACCGAAATTCGAACCACATTTGAAAATGTACTCAGGCATCTGGGGTTCTCTAGCCCAATCATATGAGTTATATGAGCGGATCGGAACTGGAACTCCGATTTTCACTGTTTTGTAATTCAATTTCGTTGAGGAGGGTCTAGATTAATACTGATGTGATATGTTCTTCACAAATGATAGGAGGAAACAGAAAAGAAGAAGGCCGAGCAGGCAGAGAAAATTAAGAACAAATTAGTAGAAATTCAAAAGGAAGCTGAAGTAAAGAAGGCAACGATCGAAGTGAAACGAGGTGAAGACATCATCAAGGTACAAGAGGCAGCTGCCAAGTTCCGCGCCACCAGTTATGTACCGAGGAAGCTCCTCAGATGCTTCGGCAGCTGAGTTTCCTCGACCAAAATTGATTCAAGAAAAATGTATATTTGAAAGTACAAGCATGCTTACGTTCTACTTTTGGCGATCCGAGGCTTTTCAAGGACTCTGCTTGTACAGTTAATGTGTGTACAATTTTGCTTGAACAGGTTTGAAGATTTGTAATACAGGCTTGTGAAATCATGTATCATATGATATATATAAGGGGTCGAGACTCGAGGGTTACCCGCCATCAACCAAAATAGGCTCATAGGAATGAGATTTTTTTGCCAAATGACGGGACTTTACATGGCTTATGGCGTTTGCTGCTATGGAATATGCTCCAATTCTCACAGGGGCATGTTTCTTTTCTGGGCTCCAATCGAATTTCACATGGTTGGACGACAAAAGAAGCATTTGAATCTAAAAAAAAGGGGAAAAACAAAATGAACCGCAGGGAAAAGAAACGGCCTAAGACAGCACAGAAATAGAAGGAAGTGAACAGACCATCTCTTCTAAATTTATGCAGGTCAGACCAGGTCAACATATTTGATTTAGATAATTAAGGGCAATGACAGGTTCCAAAATAGAAGGACCCTCAAACAAGTGTCCAAAATTCATGGTAGAAATTCATGACTCCTCCCAGACCCATCAACCTATCTTCCAAGCTTTACGACGCTGAAGGTGAAAACAATTGAGTTCTTTTGTCTAAAAGACCTCCGAAATTTGAAGACCATGCTCTCACGCTAAACAGAGTAACGTTGCATTATTTTGTCGGAAACTCCCGGCACAGATTAGGGTTGAACAATGGGGTTCAGTGGGACGCAGGAGAAATGCAAGGCTTGCGATAAGACCGTGCATCTCATCGAGTTGGTATCAGCGGATGGAGTCCCTTATCACAAGACCTGCTTCAAATGCAGTCACTGCAATGGCAAATTAGTGGTATAAATCACTATCTTTTTAGATGTTCTCTTTTGGTGTTCACATGCGAAATCAATCCCACCTCTTTGTAGCCATCGCGGAAATCCTGCATGAATTATAGGTGCTTCGTGTTCTTTATTTCCCGTATCACAATGGTCAAAGGACCGTGATCCAACGAGAAAAACAATTAGCCCTATTTTCAAAAGGTCCCGTGGCTAAAAGTCGTGCAATCTCTGAAGAGTTTGAAACGTAACCATTAGGATACCAGAGATACTGTATGATTTATGTGGAATCATTTTCGATGTGCACGATTTGTTTCTCAGATAAGCAGTTTCTCTTCAATGGATGGAGTCTTGTACTGCAAGCCTCATTTCGAGCAGCTCTTCAAGGAGACAGGAAGCTACAGCAAGAAATTCCAGCAATGTGAGATCTCTGTATTTCAAAATACTCAAAACATTACCCGTCGCTTTGTCGTTCCATTTTTTCACTTATCTGACAATCTTCTTTGTGGGGTATGTCTGTTATATCAATGGTAACCAGCGGGAAAGTCTTCTGATCAGAAACCGAATGCGCTGGTAATCAACTTTCAAATCTCTCTAATATCCCATCATTCTCATTATGCATCATCATATTGGGTATTTATGCGCCATTGTCCTGTCACCTTCAGTCTAGGACTCCTAGCAAGCTTTCACACAGGTTCTCCGGTACCCAAGACAAATGCGCATTGTGCCAGAAGACGGCTTATCCGCTTGAAAAGGTTAGCATCGATAGCACCACATTCGCTTTGATAATTGATTCATTAATTTAACATCCGAGGTCTCATATTGTCAGAGTGTTTCTGCAGCTGACAGTGGAGGGAGAGTCATACCACAAGTCCTGCTTCAGGTGCTCTCATGGAGGCTGCTTCTTGACCCCATCCTCCTATGCTGCTCTGGATGGCATCTTGTACTGCAAGCACCACTTTGCTCAGCTCTTCAAGGAGAAGGGCAGCTACAACCACCTCAACAAGATCGCCTCCATGAAGAGGGACGCGGCAGTGCCACTCCCTGAGCTGAAGGAGCAAGCGAGAGCGCCCTATCAAGAGCCGCGGAAGGCGCAGGAGTCAGGACCCGAGGACAAGCCCAAGTCGGAACAGAAACAGTAGCCATTGGCTTTGAAATGATGAAGTCATAGCGATGGCGAAATTCGGAGCTTTTTTTCTTGCTCATCAAGATTATGCATTTGAAATTGAGTTTAACCTTGTTTTCATGTTCTTATATCAAATTTGAGATCTTTCTACAAACCTTCTTTGACCTCCTCTGTTTGCATTTTGCTGTTCATGAAATGCCTGATGGCCTAGGTAGATGTGCAAACCCAGATTTGCGAGAATGGTGGATAATTTATATGATCATGAGTCGACAAGGTTCCGTCCACAGAAAAAAAAAAAGAGTCGACAAGATGTAAACAGCCAACTTACATGGCTGTGAAAATTTGTGAATTAATGCTGTTGATCCTCCAAAAAAATTTAAGAGGATTTAGAGTAGACCTTATTTTAAATAAGAGTTTAAAGTGGCCTAAAGTGCTTTTGGCTCCAAGCAAAATGGACCTTGTTATTCATCCTTCAAAAAACAGAAGATTTCAAATAAGGCCCCAAGTGCTATCATTTTCTCATAGGGTTCAAAGTGGATTTTGTTTCAAATAAGAGCTTGAAGTGGCCAAATAAAGGCTTGACCTTGTTGTTTGGCCAAATATTCCGATCGGTCAAGCGCATTTTCATCTAAAGATAGTTTTTTTTCCTTCTCTTCTTGTTCATCTTCTTTTTTGTCCAGCAAGATAAATAGGGAAGAGTGACAAAAGCAATGGCCTTAGGTACCGCATGATAACCATTCTGGTTCTGTCCAGAACTGGTTTTTTGTTCCCAGAATCAGTTTTGGATCAGAAATCCGTTTGTTAACGCAATTTCATTTTTCTATTTCTGGAACAAGTTTTTGTTCCAGAACCGATTCTGAACCAGAAATCAGAACAAAAAAAAAGCTGGTTTTCTAATTCTAGACCAAAAATCAGAATCATTTCTGAGAGAACTCTTTCTTTAAAACACATGTTCATCTGGAAGTCACGATCTTTGAGGTGGGAAAAAAAAGCAAAAAATCAAAAATTTCAAAACTTCACATAATGGTTTAAAATCTGTGGCTACCCACTTTAAGCTAAATTTTAAATTTTTTTACGTGCCGAAAAAAATAAAAAAAAGTTAAAAAATCAAAAATTTCAAAATTTCACAAAATAGCTTAGAATACCTATGGCCACTCACTTTGAGCGAAATTTAATTTTTTTTATATGCCAAAAAAATAAAAATAATCAAAAAATCTAAAATTTAAAAACTTCACAGAATGTCTTAGAATACATGTGGCCACCCAATTTGAGTGAAATTTAATTTTTTTTAGATACCGAAAAAAATTAAAAAAAGCAAAAAATAAAAAATTTTAAAATTTCACAGAATGGCTTAGAATACCTGTGGCCATCCACTTTGAGCGAAATTTTAATTTTTTTATGTGTCGAAAAAAATAAAAAAATAAAAAATTTTAAAACTTTACATAATGGCTTAGAATACATGTGGCCACCCACTTTGAGCGAAATTTAATTTTTTTTAGATGCCAAAAAAATAAAAATAAGCAAAAAAGAAAAAATTTCAAAACTTCACAGAATGGCTTAAAATACCTGTGGCCACCCACTTTGAGCGAAATTTTATTTTTTTAGGTGCCTAAAAAAATAAAAAAAAGCAAAAAATTAAAAATTTTAAAACTTCACATAATGGTTTAGAATACCCGTGGCCATCCACTTTGAGCGAAATTTAAATTTTTTAGGTGCCGAAAAAAATAAAAAATTTCAAAAATTCACAGAATTGCTTAGAATACCTATGGCCACCCACTTTGAGCGAAATTTAATTTTTTTAGGTGCCGAAAAAAATAAAAATAAGCAAAAAAACAAAAATTTCAAAACTTCACAGAATGGCTTAGAATACCTGTGGCCACCAATTTTGAATGAAATTTTATTTTTTTTAGGTGCCGAAAAAAAGAAAAAAAATCAAAAATTTCAAAACTTCACAGAATGGCTTTGAATACATGTGGCCATCCACTTTGAGTGAAATTTATTTTTTTTAGGTGCCGAAAAAAATTTAAAAATCAAAAATACCATTTGGGTACCTAAAAAAATTAAATTGCACTCAAAGTGGGTGGTTAGAGGCATTCTAAGTCATTCTGTGAAGTTTTACAATTTTTTATTTTTTTTTCGGCACCTAAAAAAATTTAAATTTCACTCAAAGTGGGTGGCCACAGATATTCTAAGTCATTCTATGAAGTTTTGAAATTTTTGATTTTTTTTTCTTTTTTTCACCTCAAAAATTTAAAATTTCACTCAAAGTGGATGGCCACATGTATTCTAAACTATTCTGTGAATTTTTAAAATTTTTGGAATTTTTGATTTTTTGATTTTTTTTGGACACTTAAAAAAATTTAAGTTTCACTAAAAGTGGGTGGCCACATGTATTTTAAGTCATTCTATGAAGTTTTGAAATTTTTGTTTTTTTGATTTTTTTTGAAAAAATTCAATAAATTTCCTATTTTCTAGAAAAATCTGAATTTTTTTTATTTTTTGGAAATTGTGATGAATTTTTGTAGAATTTTTCAATTTTTTTGGATTTTTTGGATTTTTTTTGAGATTTTTAGGAATTTTTTGGATTTTCTAATTATTTTTATTCCATTTTAAAAAAAAAATATATTTTTTTTCCTGGAAATAGAATTTTGTGTTGTTTATCAAACGAGTTTTTGTTTTAGGAAATAGAAATTTTGTGCTGTTATCAAACGGGTTTCTGTTCCAGAAATAGAAATTTTTTGTTGTTATCAAACGGGTTTCTTTTCTCAGAAACTCGTCCTGAAACCAGAAATAGAAAAATCTATTTCTGTTTCAGGAACTCATTTCGAAACAGAATGGTTATCATTCGCTACCTTAGTAACCACAGAGCCGTGTGCAAGAATAGCTAGCCTGGTTATTGCAACGACATTGGTGGCGCCAGACGCCCACAAAGTCCTCGCCGGTAGTTAGCGAGGGTCATGACCCTCGCCCCTGGATGAGGTCATCGTCGCTGCGGGCGAGGCCGCCTTGCCGGCCACGGGTATAAGCGGCCAACCAACAATTTTGAGTCCCCTCTTTAAGTTGCTTTCCAAGATCCAAAACCCCAGCAAACCGGTCGACAAGAACTCAAATCCCCATCCTGTGCTCCTAAGCAATCACCTAAAATGGTATCGCGAAAAACCTAAACTGGTACTTACCCTAAACTGCTCCTATGAAATCACCCCAACAAACCAGTTGGCCACGGAGATCGAAATAAGGTTCGTTTGAACCCTTTTTTAAGAAATGGGTTGATACCGTGAAAAACCTAAACTGATACACCCATGATAAATTTAACCTAAACTAATTTTTTGACCACTAAAAACCCTAAACTGGTACATTTGTGACAAATTTACCTTCCGTTAGTTTCCGCTAAATTGAATTAATATCACCAAAAACCACAAACCGGCACACCTGTGCGTAAAACTCCAAACTGGTATATCTGTCGACCGTCATGTGTCATTCAACTTAACAATTTGACGGTAAACTTTAATGAAAACTAACGGAGAATAAATTTGTCACATGTGTACCAGTTTATGGTTAGTTTGGCGTAAATTTATAACATATGTACCAGTTTGGAATTTTTCGTGATATTGATAAGCGCATTTATTTGTAATTTTCCCAAAATTCAAAGCATGCAAAAAAAATTGCTATTGGCTCCAAGCAAAATAAAACAAAATAAAAAGACAAAAAAACAAAAATACAGGCCACGTAGGACGTGTTCCATTCCAGAGAAGATAAAAAGAATCATCTTCCTCCTAAAGCCGTTCTATCTCCAGGATCTCCAGAATCTTCATTTCTGAAAGCGCTCCATTTTCACGTTCTTCACTTCCCTCTCGAGTTCGAATCGAAACTTTGTATCAGTGCGCTGATGAGTTTTGCTTGACTCATCACAGTAATGGAGGCCTCTGCTCTGACCACTGTGGCTAGCATGCCGACTTCGTCTCGCAACGGCGACAAGGCGCTCGTTGCCATCTCCGGTCCGTTTCCCCTCCGGAGGAAGTGGTCGGCGACCGGAAGCTTCCGTTTGCGGAGGAGATTTGAGAGGCTCACGGTTCTTGCCTCCAAGGAGGAGGAGCCGAGACTCAATCAATGGGACCAGATGGAGCTTAAATTCGGCCGCATGCTCGGTGAAGATCCGAAATTGACTATGGCCAAGGTCACTTTTCTCTCTCTCTCTCTCGTGTTTGTAGGCAATTATAGTTCTGTGTGGGCGGATGCTTTCAGCAATCGAATTATGAGACTTGCGGTTGTTCGGATGATAGCAAATGAGAGAGAAGTAGCCTTTATTGTAGTGTTTCGACATACTTTTCTTATGAGAGGTTCTGTAAGCAACGAGAGTGGAAACATTTTAATTACATGGTCGACAATAAGGACTGTGTTATGTGAATTGGTACTGCCAAAGAATTAGTTTATGTAAGATTGCGTAGGAGGGTTATGCAATCAAGATATTAAACTTCTGATGGGCAATAGATGTGTGGTGAATTAATTGGAGAGTACTGCCTTTTGGTTTTTCAGATAATGGGGAGGAAAGCAAATCCGGATGCTTCTTTTCTTGAAATCGAGAAATCGTTCTACAAGAAAAAGGGTGATATCAAGGAGGTGCCATTTGAAGGGACGGAGGAGGGCAAGTCGTCCAGCTCATCAGATGGTTTGAATTTGGCTCGGCCTGTCCCTAAAAAAGGTGTGAAATTCCAGAGTGATAAGCCAATGGCATCAGAACCGAAGAGACCAACACCATCGGCTGAGAAGTCTAAATATAGTCCGAAGAGTAGTGTTCCTGATGTCATATTGAGAAAGCCGACTGTCTTTAATGAGGATGACGTTGAAGATAAGCCATCTAAGTTGAGAATTAAGCGAAACTTGTCACTACGAATGAGCAACCAGCCGGTGATGAAGGAGAGATTCAGTGACATGACATTGTTGAGAAAGCCTGAACCAACTAATGTCAATAGGAATCTTTCCAGAGAAGTAGTACCTGCAAATGCCTCCGGATCTGTACATGGTGAAAATAGTGAACTGCAGATGCGAAATGAAGAGATAAAGGTTGAAGCAAATGATTTTACACTAATAAAGAAGCCTGAGACTGTGACTGATGGGCATGGACAAGTTGGCTATTCTGAAGCTCTTTCCACTGCTGATGGAGAGGAGAAAGGTTTGAAATCTGTATCTGGGGAGACAAGTGCAACTACAGGAGAATTTGAAGCATCCACAACAAGTACTGATGTACCTCTCTCTAGAATTGAACCCAATGATGATATTGTCTTAGGTAAAGATCTAGATTCTTTATTGATTTTTCTATACTGGGATAAGTGAATGAATATGATGATTGTCCTTTCAAGGATCACAGCTGCATGAGCAGAGCCATGTAGATTCTGGTGTCAATTTTGGTAAGACGGCCGCACTACAGGGGAAACCAAAGAGGTGTCTTAAATCGGTTCCAAATACTTGACTTTAATGAGTTTAATGTTTTGAAATCAGAATTTTTTTGAATGACGACATTTTGAGTGTAGAATGGTTGAACACGCTAGAGGAATCTCAAATAGTGACAGAGTGGAGACATCAACCCCAACATTTGACCGTCATGGTGATGATTTTAAACTTGGTAGTGTCTGTACCCCTGAAGTTGAGGTAAGATGTCATAAATAATTGACGCTTTCTTTTGGCGAGTGAGAGGTGAGTGTTCTGTGCAAAAATTTGGCTATTCTGTTTGGCTGTAGGACCGTGACGATGCTGATTGGACCCGAGCTGAGCATCTGGTTAAGACGGGAGAAAGAGAAGAAGTGGAGTTACTAAGCTCTAGCACCAGAGGTTTTGTTGTAAGTACATTAGCGGACACCTTCCTGCTGCTTGTGCTGATTTGCTTCTTTTCTGAGTCGAATTGCAGATCAGCATGTAGCAACTATTTTGTTTGATTTTGTTTGTGTTGATCATCCTGAAATTGGTTTAATAACTGCAGGTGTCTTTTGGTTCATTGATAGGAATTTTGCCATACCGCAGTCTTGCCACCAAGTGGAAGTACTTAGCATTTGAATCATGGCTAATACAGAAGGGATTAGACCCGTCAAAGTACAGGCAAAACCTTGGAGTTATAGGAAGTTATGATGTTATGGACAAAAGTAGTTCTACCAGTGGAGGTCTAGATCCAGAAGACGTTCCACCAATAAGCAAAGAAATCTCACCAGATATGAAATTGGAAGATCTTCTTAGGATTTACGACCAAGAGAAACTCAAGTTCTTGTCTTCATTTGTTGGACAGGTATCTAGGAGTCTGATTTAGTATCAATGCATTGGAAATTTCCAATGTTGCAATTGTTACTTTACATGTCAAATAACTGTTCTCCTATAACCTTAAAGTGCAGAAAATCAAGGTTAATGTGGTAGTGGCTGACAGAAAGTTTAGAAAGCTTCTCTTTTCTGTGAAGCCCAAAGAAAAGGAGGCAATTGTTGAGAAGAAAAGAAGTCTCATGGTAAGGCAAGGATATGGAAAATCAAATTCGTTATATGTTGGCCATATATCTTCCCTAAATTGAATATGAGACTTAATACTTGTTATGTGATATGCTGAACAAATAAATGTTATACCTGTCATATATGCTTCAAAGGTCTTGTTTGGTTGTTACACGAGTTTGGTTTTCTAACCATTTTGCTTAAAGCAACGGTTAAAATAATCAATTTCTGGCTTAGAAGATTATCTAGATGAACAATGTGGACAATCTTTTTTTCTGGGATAAGCTTAAGGGTGGAAAAGGGCGGCCAATATTTATATACCCTTAAGTGTTACCAGGGGGTTGCCAATTTGAATGGACAATGTTTTAAATGCCTGGTTCTTGTGTTTTGGTGGCTGGTATTTCAGTGTGGTGGCCAAGATGGGTGCTAATTTTGTTGTGTGGACAGTGTTTGTGATATCCATGAGTTCAGAATATTCATGTGGGTAGTCTAGTAAAGATTGTTGGTTTCAGTCTTCCGATCCCGAGTGACTGATACTACTATTGGTGTATATGTCGACAGGGGATAGCTCCTCTTTCATTTACTCCAGTAGTTTGCTATCCTTGGTTATAATTGAGTGATCAAAGTATATCTTGTTGAAATGTTAGTTCAGTACTTGACATGAGAGAATTGGTCAGTAAGGCCTCATACTGCTTTCTGTTGCAGGCCAAACTTCGCATTGGGGATGTTGTCAAATGTTGTATTAAGAAGATCACATACTTTGGCATTTTTGTGGAGGTAGGTTAATATGATTATTCTACCTCGAAAGAGAGCTCACTCAATATTCTATGTTGGTGATATCTGTACTTAAACCAAGTGACTTTATAGTACAAAATCAGATCTCTTTGCCATTGGGATTATAGTACAAAATCAGATCTCTTTGCCATTGAGGCTGCTATACCAAAATAGTCGTTTTAATGGTAACTCCTTGAATTTGTCTATGTAGGTTGAAGGCGTGCCTGCACTAATTCACCAGACAGAAGTGTCATGGGATGCTACTTTGGATCCTGTGTCCTATTTTAAAATTGGTCAGGTACTTTACAGTTTATTTAGGGATGAAAGCTTTTTCTCTTCATGATCAAATTCTGCAGAAAATTAGTCTGTGAATCTAATATATGCATTTTCTTGAAAAACTTATTTATTTGATTTGGAGAGTGCTTGAGTTTGCCAATTTTCTGTTGGTTGCTGCCCGAGCTGTTCTGTGTATATGGTTATGCATATCCAGTTATTCGTGTGATATTTTTGCCAAGTACTCTTTCACTGTTGGTCCTTTTGGCTTCTGACTTCTCAAGAAGATCAATTTGAAATCAGGTTGTGGAGGCCAAAGTTCATCAACTGGATTTCGCACTTGAACGCATTTTCTTGTCACTGAAGGAAATTATGGTAATTTAGTTAAATATTTAGGTGTAAAATGCGAAACCTTTTGTATTGGTTCATCATGACAATTGTTGTTTCCTATGGCAGCCCGATCCGCTGATTGAGGCCTTGGAGTCAGTTGTTGGTGATGGCAATTCCTTTGATTGGAACCTGGAAGCTACACAAGCAGAATCCGAGGTTCCTGCAATCATCCTTTAATTGGAACCTATTATCGCTCATTGAACTATGTGGCTCTCATGAGCACTGGTTGGTGCGGCTTATAGATGTTTATAGAGTAGTGATTCTAAACAACTCAGATGGTTTTTCTGTCTGTGAAGTTAATTGCATAAAATTAGGTGGTTTACTTGATTCCTTCTTTAAAATATTGAAGAAGGCAATGTGTCCCATGATGCTTAGCCTAGTCGATTCCCTTTTCCCATTTTGCATCACTCAGCATAGATGGTGTTTGTTTTATTCGTGTACATGCAATTAGACAAATTGAATATTGTCTCTACATGATAATACTAGAACATATGGACTGGGACTATTCATCGCTTGCTTTAAATTTAAACAGTGGGTTGAAGTGGAGTCACTTATCAAGGAGCTGCAACAGATTGAAGGAGTGCACACTGTGTCAAAAGGTCGTTTTTTCTTGAGCCCAGGTTTGGCCCCAACATTTCAGGTGTGTCTACATGAATGTATAGTTCCTATTTGATGCAAGGTTGTGGTTTAAAAAGATATTATGGATTCCCATCTTTATGGACATACTCGAGCTCATTACATAATGGTCATTGTTTGTTGCGCAGAAATTATGGTATAGGTTGATGCACAACAAATTCATGAGCTCATAAATTTTTTATGTTTTTGATATTTGAACACACTCGAAGACATCTCTAACTTTCATAGGACCAACTAGATTTTAAAAGCTCGAAATATTCGTTGCATTTGCTTTAGTTCTTAGCATGAACAAATATATCCGAGATCCTTTTTCTGATTTCCAAGGACAGACGGTTCTTTTTCTTGTGCTTTTGCTGTATTCATATATGCATAAAGAAACAACAGCAGCAGATCTATGTACGAGTACACACATAATTATTTTTAATGTTCTACCTGCATATGTGAAAGGAGGTATATACTATTTATCCTTTTGATGAAAGCACGCATTAAATGCTTTGTACACTCTTTCTTTTTTTCTTCTTTTTTTGCCGTGTGCATATTAAACACTTCTTATTGCTTGGATGCTGGCTATTTTCATGCTTTTCTTTCAATGAAACTCCTACTTTAAGACAATAAAAGAACGTCGTCCATGGTTATAACTAGTGCATGGTGTCCTTGCGAGATGTCCCATGGTGCAGGTTTATATGGCATCCATGTTTGAAAATCAATACAAATTACTGGCTCGATCTGGAAACAAAGTACAGGAGGTATGATTTGAAGTATATTCCTGCATTCTTTGATTAATGTCAGCTCTCGGCGTGAAGTGTCACTCACTTGAACTCTAAATATTATGTAGGTAATAGTTGAAGCATCGTTGGACAAAGAAGATATGAAATCCATAATTTTGATGTGCACCAACCAAGTCGAGTAGCTTGCTCATCCTTTTTCCTAAGTCCATTGCAATCACTCTCTTTCTGATGGAAAATATCATTCATCTGGTGAGTATCCTCCAAGATACTAGCAGAAGTGGACCATATGAACTGGGAATTGCGCTTTCAGAGCCAAAGGTGTTAGGCGGATGCAGCTTTCTAAGACAAGCCGAGTTTTTGCATTCTTTTTGGTTGTGAGGTATTTGGGATTAGATACGTTTTTTGAATCAGTTTGATGGCATGTAGATTATTCAAATTCTTCAATTCCCAAAGTATCTATATTAGGTTCACATAGGAAGATCAAATTTGTAATGTCTTCCCTTTGAGAGCAATGTCTATTCCAGATGCATCTATGGCAGTCCCATATCCTGAGAAACACTTCACACCTGCCACAGCCTGCGTCGGCGAGTTTGAGAACACCATAGACGTGTTGATGCTCACTCGTAGCTGATGGCATGACCGAAGAAATGGTATGTACATGGAAAGCTTGGGTTGATATGAATCATTGTATTCGACCCCAGATCAGTAATTAATTGCGGACGTACAATTCCATTTCGAGAACAAATTGTCATTCCATACGTAGTCAAAATGACTCTATAAAAGATTTGACCCAAATTGAATCATTTCATCTTGTATAATGCTAAATCATTTTAAAACTCGCACCAGCATAACTCTAAATTGTATAGTGCTAAAAGCGTTTTTAGAAGCTCCTACCAATAAACAGAGCGAAAAATGCAATATAACATATATAGCTTTAGGGTTTATACGGACATAGCCTCTCTGCAGTACTCATCCAAATCTTGATCAAAAGGTCGACACTACCGTCCGAGCAAAGAAAAAGCCGGAAGGTCCTTCTTTCGGCATTAAAGCCACCATAACGGGGCCTCTCGCGCCTTCCTCGACTGGCAAAAACCCAGTGTTGTGGTTTAGGTCGGTCTTGACGAAACCTGGGGCCACGGCATTGATGGCGATACCGGGGTATTTCTTTGCTAAAACTCTAGTGTAAGCATTGAGAGTTGCCTTGGAGACGATGTAAGCGGAATAAATGATCGGCCAGCCTCCAGTTTCCGACCTATCCTCCTTGATATCCTCCAGAAATCTCACTACCAAACCGTCCACTTTCTCTTCCGTGAGGCTATCGATGTCATTGAGCTCCTCTTTGATATTCTCGCCGGGGATGTTCTAATTTCAAGAAGAATAAGATGAACAAATCTTTCATGAGAGAATACGAAAAGTTACTGAATTAATGAGCATGCAGGGATTATTCAATTTGAGGGGCAAATAATTGCAAAGTGGTTAAATATTAGCGCACTTTATAAACTGTTGGTTATTTTACATTCCTCATGTTCGATAATTCAAATCTGCCTCACTTAATTTTTTTTCTTTCACGTCATGAGTTTCAATCGATCTCCTCGTCATTGCATTAACCAACCAGATGATATAATGAGTTGATTATGTGTAGTTTTACTTGATCGACAACGTGAAAAAATTCATTTGCATATTACACTAATTAAGTACGTACCTGAAGCTGGCCAAGGGAAGAGGAGACATTGACTACTTTTGCCGAATTTGATCGTTGAAGAAGAGGTAGAAGAGCAGCAGTCACTTGTTTGACTCCATAGTAGTTAGTCCTCAGACATTTTTCTGCTAATTCATAGGTCTGCTCCATGAATTCTTTCATCGATTTGGCCTGCGGACCTGTAATCTGCAATAAGTTTAGATGACAAAGACGACAGCGTTAATTAGTTTAAGCCTCTTACTTTTCATGAATAAAACGAAAAAAAAAGGAAATATAATGGATGCCCCAAACATCATGGTAGAAGGAATATTTTCATGTTAAGAAACGAAATAATTAATGTTTAAACTAACATTTTCGAGTTTGCTTGTTAATGATTTCCGATCAAAAGCTAAGCTATTATCTAATGGTGGGCAAATGGGTATTAAGGCTAGTATCTAGGAAAGTAAAAAGTGGCGTCAGATACACATGAACGTTGTATATGTTCTATAAATCACCTCACAAAAATAACGTGAAAAATGTATTTCATAGTAGCCTTGCCGACTTGAGAAAACTCACTTTATCTCTTGTGAAAACCAAGTCTTTATTCATGACTGTAGCTCCGGTTACGCCTGCATTATTCACCTGCAAGGCCACTTTGTGGCTCTTTTATCAATCTATTTGCAACATAATATATAACAAGTGACATATGAATAGATCATACCAAAATATCGAGTTTTCCAAACCGAGCCTTTACGAAATCCGCAAGCAAATTGACACTAGTCCCGTCGACCACGTCGAGCGGATGAAAGACCACGTTGGAGATCCCACTACTCGCGAGCTTCTCGATAGCCTCATTCCCTCTATTCACATCTCTTGCAGTCAACACAACAAAGACTCCATTCGAAGCTAGTTGCTTGCATATCTCGAATCCGATCCCTTTATTCGCACCGGTAACGACCGCAACCCTATGGAAATGAACACAAAGATGAGAACAAGACACAAGGGTTAGCATTTTCCCTGAAATAGATTGTATCGAACCGGTCTCGATAATTTTTTAGGGGTAGTGGAAGCGAGTAGTACCTGTCCATTTGATGAAGAGCTTGAAATGTTAAAATCCGCCCTTTTTTTTCCTTCTGCAAAGATTTTGCAAGGTGGTGGCTCTTCTGCTGTGGCTTGTTGAGTGCATATGTATAGGCGAAAACATCATTTTTCTCTATCCAGAAGAACAGAAGGAAAGAGAGAAAACGTCAGCCAGTGCGTCGTAGGTTTATATTTGGTCGTTGGTCGTGCAAGAACGTATGCAGTGACGTATCCTCGCCGTTTTTTAATCTAAGCGTTGACGACTTTCTTTTAAGGAGCAAATGGCAAAGAAATATCACCCTTTGAAGTGTAATAGAATTCTAGAACACGTCAATCTTCTCTCATTAGTGCTCTTGAATATCATAAGTTATCTAGTAATAAGATGTGTGGACGAGGTACTATTTATCCGTCATACATAGCTTTCCATGTCAAGTAGTTGACTAGTGGCTTGTCGTTCTTAAGCCAGTGCCCTACTTTGTCTCTTTAACAATATCGTGACCTTCCTCGAGGTGAATCACTAAGGAAAAGTTAATAAATTACTAAGTGGGCACAAATGGTCATTTAATAAAGAGATGGTGCCATCACCTAACGCGGACTCTCCTAAGTCCATTCCAATCACAACTTGAGGTTTCAATTGAATTGTATTAAACATTCAATTTTATTTATTTAGAGCTATCACTAATCGATTATGAGTTGAGTAGACACTCAAGTTGTTGAGAAAAACCTTGAGGATTTTAATAATGACGAAACTATCTCTTGCGATTTGTAGTTTGAAAGATGCGAGTGTTGTTTTTGTCCAGGTGACTATTGATGACACAACACTATTGAAACTATTCTTGGCGTTAAGTGAAAGAACTTGAAACACTGGAAGAACCTTAAGGGTTAACAAGTCAAAGAGAAATAGTAGTTTGTGAGGACTTGGAGAATTCAATAGGTCAACAGATCAGAGGAAGTTTAATTCACATGCGTGCTTAGGAAAACTCGATGGAGTTTGATAAACACAACAACTGTTAACTGGACCATTGGGCCAAACTAAAAAAGTTGATAGAAGCTATGGCTTATATCAAAGTGAGATGATCACTTCTGGACTAGTGACATTATAAAGATAAAAACTTGCTTTAATCGTTATTACGCATTCAAAGTAATCTAATAGCCAATCACAAATCTGGAGTTATGGATTTATTTGCTTGAAAGAGAATCCAATCGCTTCACGCCCTCACCACCTCCTCCTTCCTTCCTCTCTCTTTCAGGGGCTCCACCTCACAACGGTAACCGCTTTCTGTTGATCGCCTTGTGCTGTTTTCTGTTGCAGGCCAAACTTCGCAGTGGGGATGTTGTCAAATGTAATGTTAAGAAGATCACATACTTTGGTATTTTCGTGTAGGTGGTTAATATGATTTTTCTAGCTCGATAGAGAGCTCACTCAACATTCTATGTTGGTGATATCTGTAATTAAACCAAATCAGATCTCTGTCATTGGGATTATTGGGTGCTCTTATCATATTATATGAGGCTGCTATAGCAAAACAGGCGTTTGAAGGTTAACTACCTATGTAGGTTGAAGGCCTGCCTGAACTAATACACCAGACACAAGTGTCATGGGATGCTATGTTGGATCCTATGTCCTATTTTAAAATTGGTCCGGTACATTACAATTTATTTAGGGATGAAACCTTTTTTGGGCCCGTATTTTGTTGGTAAGTTGTTGTTGCTAAGTTGGGCTTAGCCCATGAATAGCTATTAAGTATAGAGAAAGGAGGTGCTAATTATAGTGGAATCATTTGCCGGATGTAATCCTAGTTTAAGGGTAAACCGGAATTGTCGCGACCTCCCCGCCAGGTGTCAACAAGGATAAACCTATCAATTTCTCTTTCTCGCTTTTACTCTCTTCAAATTCTTCAATTTTCAAAGAATCTATATTAGGTTCACATTGGAAGATCAAATTTTTAATGTGTTCCCTTTGAGAGCGATGTTTAATTTAAAAGATTGGCTACATGGTCTCATTTGGATGCATAAGTCATTTATTTTACCAGTGGCAAGATGTTTATGCATTACGCCGGTATTCAAAAGTACTGGGGTTCATTTGTCACTCCCGTACATCTACACAGAATTAGGGGCTTACTGCTTCACATTCAAGTTTCAGCCTCCTCATCGTCCTACATAATCCAGCAATCCCCTGTCGCGACCTAAATTTCTCAGGCTAATGGATTATTAAATCTAAGCTTAACTCGGGCCCTCCAAGCCCTATCAATTCGCAACTTAGGGTTTAAGTTTTTAACATGCAAAAGTTTTCATGCTTGGAGTCGCCACTAATCTATTTGTGGTAGGTCGATTAGAAACCTAAATAAAACATAGGGAGATATGTTTTATTCCTACGAACCAGAGATTCTAAGCTCGGGGACTTGGTTATGCTAGATCTAGTCTAACGCCCTTTCGGTATCTTTTCTTTTTAAAAAATGTTTATGCAGGCAGTCTGGATCCATTTTATTACCTAATTATTAACATGTGAGGTGTTCATACGGGTACGCAAACCACCAATTTAACACCCAAGAAAGCAATAAATAGATTGCAAGATTAGGAAAATGACGTACCTTAATGCAACGCAAGCATCTGCATTGTTAGTAGAAAATCACACAGACAATCCTAATATGATTTCTAATTAACAAAACAAGGCATTCGAGGTGTTCTTTAGGATTTGCGCTTTATTAAAATGCAAACTAACCTATATGCAATGACGTGCAAAAAATGACATGCGATTAATGCAACCTAGCATGCGAACTATAGTCACGACGTGACCTAATTCTAATGATGGACAAATGATTTATTTTTGGTATTTTTCCAATGAAATTCGGAATAAAAAAATGACCTAAATAATCTATTAGGATTAGAATAACACCTAATTTAAACTAGGAAATAAATTATCTCTAGTAATAATTTAAATTAAATAATTATCCTATCTTCTAGATACATTTAGGGTTCCCTAAATATGCAAAACTTCTAATTTAAATCCTAACTAACATATTTTTGGATTTTCTTTATTTAAAAAAAAATCAAACAAAGATAACAACCGCATTCAAACAATCCACGCAATCCGCAAGATTCTTCTTATTAAATTTGAATTAGGAAAAGAAATCAAATTAACAGTCATATCTATAGGGTTATAGATATCGACGGAAAACTGATTATTCGAATTTGGAAAGCGAATAAAATCTATTATCGTATCCAAGTGATTATGGATAAGATAACGATTTTCCGTATCGCCGTGTATAGTAACTTATAGATAAGGTCGGATAGTCGTCCAAATACGTTGCCAAATTAGGAATAATTCCTAATTCAAAGTATCTTAGGATAGTGCGAATATTACAAACATTATCCTAAGATGTCTAGCAAACCACCAAAGAATATCCACGAAATATCTAAATTATCCGAAAACTAAGAAATTAAATATTTAGAAAAAATATTTGGATAATACTCTTACCTAATTCGCGGATAACTTCCAAATTTGAATCACCGGCGGATCGGGATAACGAAATGGCCAATGGCGGGTGACCGACGGCGGCTCAGGGGCAGCTCGGATTGCGGTGGCTGATGGTGGTGGTGCCGCCAGTGCTGGATGGCTTGGAAAGAAACTGATTTGGTTCAGCGAGCACAGCAAGAAAGTCGAGAGCTCATTGGATCGCTACTGGAATTCGCTGCTGTGTGGACGTTGCTGTGGTTCTTTCGGTGGTTTCACTGGGCACCTTCACTGAGTAGTTCCACAAATTGGCTGGGTCTTCATGGATGGTGGGGCGCAAGATACTCCGGGGCAACCTACAAAAGATAGCAGCTTCGTTCGACTGGATGAAAGGTAGCAGATTGTCGTCGTCTTCTGGGGTGATCTCAAGCCAGGGAACAGCGATGAAGTCGGAACATGAGCAGTCGTCGAAGTGGGGGCAAATAGCAAAGGTGCTGCGTTTGTCGCAGGTGGCACAAGGGACTAAGGCTTGTCGGGGCAAAGACCTCCACGGGATCTGCAGCGAATAGGGCAGCGAACTCAATATTGGAGTAGATCGTCACAGGGGCTTTTGGCTCGCGGTGAAAATAGCAGGTGTCGCCGAAGAAAATCACTAGCGTCAGTGGGATCGGCTCGTCTCCATGAACAGAATGCTTCGTCGTTGAGGCTCAGACCAGATTGGATTTCGTCGAAGGGGCTCCAAGAGGAGTGTGCCGCTTGTCACCACGTGGGAAGCGGTAGCAGCAACCCAGGCACAATGGCAATCGTGGAACTTGGTGACCACATGCAGTGAACTACAAAAGGAGAGCAAAATCTCTCTGTTGTTTTTGTTGGAAATATGGGATAAATTGATGGGTGAATGAATGAGAAATTGATGCTCAAAGAACACCCTTAAGTTAGAAGTGGGATGTGGAAAATCACTAGTCCCACATCGGAAAAGAAAGAAGGCTATGGAGTGCTTTATATACAGTTACACTTATTTGAAGTGGTAACTATCGTAGCACAAACTCTCTGCCTCGCGCGCAGGCGCAGGGGGGTGCAAATCCGACGCCCGACAAGCTGAAACTTGGGCGCAAGCGCACATCCCGCGTACACGATTGCAGGACCGAAAAGTGGGCCTCGTGACGAACCCAATTTTGCCTTCTGATTTATTTTTCCTTTCAACTCAAACAGTTACGAATTTCATAACGTGCGACAGATTTAATCGACCGTTATTATTCCTGAATTGCTCTCCCCTATGTTCCTTTTTATCGAAATCATTCTTCCTCTGGTTTTACACTCTCTTTGCATTTGCACTGTTTTTCGGTAGTGTTCAGTTCCGTAATTTGTTCAAGTTCGCCGGAAGCTTTAAAGTCCTGATTACTTCTTAGCAGTCAACCGTTGTATCCTGGGAGATAGACGTTCACGAAACCTCGGACGCGTCTTGAAGGGAACGAATCTGTTTTAAGGAAACTGTGTCAAACACAGGCCTCGGTATTCATTTGTATCGATTCCAACTTTGTTATTGCAATTTCGTTTATTTGCGATTCTGTATTGTTTGTGATTTTTATACTAATGTCAATTTGAATTTTCGCAACAATCTTAAAACAGAATCGCGCTTTTAGAAATTCAAATGGCTACGGGTAAAGAAGTCGTGGATGTGGCTGCTGGAAACGATGGTG